GAGTCTAATAATGCTTTGAAAAAGGAAAATGAGGATTTAAAGAAAGCAAATGAAGATTTAAAGAAGGAAAATGAGGTTTTTAAGAGAAAAGCTTGTGATCTTGAAAATGTGATTTCCAAATTTACCTTGAGTAAAGAAAAATTTGATTCTATCTTAAAATCTCAAAGAAGTGTTTATGACAAAGGGGGCATTGGATTTAATTATTTTAAAAAGCAAAAGACTTTTAAGACTACCTTTGTAATAGCAAGTCAATCCTATCATCCTAATGTTACTTACTATTGTTGTGGTGCAAATGGACATTTTGCTTACATATGTCCTTTGAAGAGATTGATAGCTCAAGGTAAAGTGAAGCAAATTTTGGTTCCAAAAGGAACTTTAAGCACTAACCCCTATGGACCCAAGCAAATTTGGGTACCAAAAATCAAAACTTAATTTTGTTTTGTAGGAAAAGTTGATGGCAAAGTCACAAGGAAAGCAAAGAAGATCTTAAAAAAGACTTATGCCTCAACAAGAATGTTGGAGTGGAAGTGCAAAGGAAATTTGATTTTGAATGCTCCACTCATGTGCTCAAATTGGTATCATTTATCTTATTGCATTTATTCATTAAGTATAATCACATTAGCATGACTATTAATTATTGGTTTATGTGTGTTCACTCTTTGATATATATGCTTGTTGAATATGATATCATTTGATGTGATTATTAAAATTTATGCAAATTAATGAGCTTGGCATGTTGGATTCTAATGCTTGATATGATTCTTGAAATTAATGAATTTGATTATTAGAATTTGTGTGCCTTGATTATATTCATGCTATTTGATGATGCATACATTGATATATGACTAAAGTTGCATAATTTAGTAGTTGATGTTCAATTTAAACTTGGTTAAATAAAAAAATATCAATTAAGGTGCACTCCCTTCAAAACAGCCCCAAACTTTCTGTTTGTCCCAATCAAGGCTAGTAAAGCCGGCTCAAGCTTTTTCACAGCCGGCTCCACCAAAAAACCTGAGAGTCTTCTATCTCTAGAGTTAAGCCGGCTCCAGGACTACAGCCGGCTCTCCTGCAGCTCTTTGAATATTCGAGCTTCTCTCTCTAGAATTAAGTCGGCTCCAGGACTAGAGCCGGCTTGATGGCAAAGTCACAAGGAAAGCAAAGAAGATCTTAAAAAAGACTTATGCCTCAACAAGAATGTTGGAGTGGAAGTGCAAAGGAAATTTGTTTTTGAATGCTCCACTCATGTGCTCAAATTGGTATCATTTATCCTATTGCATTTATTCATTAAGTATAATCACATTAGCATGACTATTAATTATTGGTTTATGTGTTCACTTTTTGATATATATGCTTGTTGAATATGATATCATTTGATGTGATTATTAAAATTTATGCAAATTAATGAGCTTGGCATGTTGGATTCTAGTGCTTGATATGATTCTTGAAATTAATGAATTTGATTATTAGAATTTGTGTACCTTGATTATATTCATGTTATTTGATGATGCATACATTGATATATGACTAAAGTTGCATAATTTAGTAGTTGATGTTCAATTTAAACTTGGTTAAATAAAAAAATATCAATTAAGGTGCACTCCCTTCAAAACAGCCCCAAACTTTCTGTTTGTCCCAATCAAGGCTAGTAGAGCCGGCTCAAGCTTTTTCACAGTCGACTCCACCAAAAAACTCGAGTCTTCTATCTCTAGAGTTAAGCCGGCTCCAGGACTACAGCCGGCTCTCTTGCAGCTCTTTGAATATTCGGGCTTCTCTCTCTAGAATTAAGCCGGCTCCAGAACTAGAGCCGGCTCTCCTACAGTTTATGACTTTTGGTATTGATTGTCTATGATTTTGATGATTATATGCTTTTATTGAGGGGGAGTTTATTGGTTGCTGACTATATTCATGACTTTGGTTGTCTATGGTGCTATATTGATGATGATTGATGATTATATTCATTACATATTCTTGATCCTTTAAAGGTTGATAGCATGAATTAAAGGGGAGCATTTTGTGCTTAAATTACTTTTCTTAATGGTTATCATGCTTAAATGCTTTAAAGATTGATGTGCATGAATTAAGGGGGAGTTTGTTGATTATGTGCTTTTTGATGAATGACAAAAAAGGGGGAGAGAATATGCTGAATTTAAAGTCATTTTCTAAAGTACCTTGTGCTGAAATTCTAGTTAATATTGAAGTATATATGTGCTTTCATTAATTAATTCTCAAAGTGTTTTGTCATCATCAAAAAGGGGGAAATTGTTGTACCTATGATTTTGATGATTACAAAACACGGTTGAATGACTAATTGGTTTATTTAAGTGTGTAATTAAGCTGCTAAAAGATTGCAAGTAAACTTGGATTGCACTAAAAATAGACCAAAAGGATTCAAAATGGCAGAAAGCCGGCTCTTGAAAGCTGCAGCCGGCTCTGGTGAAATGGAGGTGTAGAGAGTCGGCTCTGGAAGCTACAGCCGGCTCTACAGGCAAAAATTTGAAGACCGTTACTTGGCGCGAGCGGAGAAAAGACGCAAAGCCGGCTCCAACTTTATAGCCGGCTGTGAGGGTGCATTTAATGCATAACGGTCGACTCTTTTGAAAAGTTTTTAATGTATTTAAAATCGGAATTCCAAAGTCGGCTCAAAGTCTTGCAGCCGACTCTCGAGGAAAACAGAATGGCCTGCAAACCTGGATAGCCGGCTCTGGAAGTGTAAGCCGGCTCTGCAAAGCCGCCTCTAGAAAGTTAAGCCAGCTCTCTTGACAGTTCTGCAACTCGAGCCATGCGTCCTGCAAAGCATTTAATGACCCCCAACGGCTAGAAATGGCTATATTCGAGCAAGGGGCTATAAATATGATTGGTAACAGATATGAAGAAGTTAGGAGAATATTACATTGCATATCTTTACCTACCTACTTGAGCTTAAACTTGAGTTTTTGATCTTTGAGTTATCATTGCTTGTAATCCTCTTCTTGTGCTATTAGTGAGTGATCTTGGGGGTGTGTTGATTCCTTCAAGAATGATCTATTGAGAGGATTTGTGGGGTTTACATTGTAAAATGGTGAGGTTTGAGAGAAATACTCATCTTCTTGTAAAGGATTGAGTGGCTCCTTTAAGCCACCATTGTTTCTGTTAATAGAGAGTGTGGAGGAAATCCTTAGTGAGTGAAGCTAAGGTAGAGGACTAGGCTCCAAGTGGTTGGACCGAACCTCTATAAAATTATTATGCAAGCTCTTCTTCTCAACTCTCTCTTTAATTTTTGTTTGGTGGTTATAAAGAGGCGAAAATTCTCCAACTCCAATTCACCCCTCCTCTTGCAGTACATTGAGTCAACAGTTTCCCTGTCCTCAGTCTCGCTTCCTAAAATGGTGGACAAGGAAAACTATGAGATAAACTCACTAAGCAAAATATGAAGTGCCCCTTATTAAACTTATAATATGCCAACAAGTGTAAGCAGGAAAAACGGATACAGTACAGGAATGAAATAGATGTCTCCTATATAGGTCATGGCTAGTGTTATAAACCTCCCACTGGCAGGTTACACTATTTGCTGGTGTATAATCCCCACTAGCAGGGTCACTCATACGAACCGGCTCTATCACTAACATGTCGATATGTGCTAGCGTTTAACCCTCGCTAGTAGGGTCACTAATAACCTAACCATATCGGAGACAAAACAGGCAGAAGTTAACAGAAAAATCATAATTCACCAATCACTTTCAAATCATCAGGACAATCAATTAAATTTCAAGTAGGCATGCTCAATTTAATAAAAAGCATAAAAATTTCACTTCATATCAGTCATACTTACTTTTGCATAAAACGAGTTTAGTCCCGCCACCACTTCAAAAACAAGTCAAAACATGCTTTTAAAAACTATACGGGCATTACCATAAATTTACTTACCTCACTCGCATAAAACCGAAGACTCGATCTCAATGCTAAACTGACAGAACGATCAGGAACCTAATCAAAATATCCAAGAATTAATTACCGTACCACGGATTCAAAAGTAAAGTCACCATGACTACCCCCTAATCACGATGCTATTCCTATCAATCTCCACATGACCAAACATCTCCAAATTTGTTCTTATATTACAAACTAAACATTTAAATCCCCGTTAATTGTTGGCCATCTGTGCGTGAACAGTGCTCATGAACAGTAACTACACTTCCAAAAATTGGCAAAACCATAGCTAATCTCATGGGATTTTTCTCCAAAATCTCACAGCAATCAATTAACACTCAATCACATAAATTCCACTTGAATAAATGCTTAAATTTTGTCCTAAAGCTACCGGAATTCATCCCCATTTTTTGCAGATTTTTGGACATCACAAGGCAGCAAATTAAATGGATAATTTTAGGCTTAAAAGGCTATCACATACCAGAATTTAACAACAAAACCAGAGCTGCAGTTTGGGGAGGAGCCGGCGGCAATGCAGGGGAAAAATCAAGAATCTACCAAAAATTGGGAGAACCAAGAGGAATTAAGGTAAACCCAAGCCAATTCAAAGAAGAACAGAGGGATTGGTGGTTGTTATCTTACCAAAAATTTGAAAAATCCACACCCCCACACACGGCAGAGCAATGGACAGGAGAAGCAAAGCAGGGTAGATTCGGAAGCTTTCCTGCAGGGGGGAGATTTCAAGGCTCTATATGTGTTCTAGAACAAGAAAATAAGGAGAACTTTCAAGCTTTCTACCGATTTCCTCAAAAAATTGTTGCCGACAGCTTGGGGGGCCTTCGGGAGCTGCAGGGGATGGGAAAGAAGAAGAAAAAGAGCAGAATCGAGTGGCTGAAGAAAGAAAGAAAGAAGAAAAAAAATCAGCCATCCTTATCCAAAATTTTCCTCTTTAAGTCCCTGAACTTTGAAATTTTGGCTATTAAGCCCAAAACAATATTTTCTCACACAAAGGTCCTCAACTTAAATGCTAGAATTTCAGAAAATTTAGGATATTACAATTGTTGCAAGAAGTGATCGAGTTTCAATATGTTGGCTCCAGACATCGACAGACGGTTGTTCTATTTAAATGCGATTGGTATAAATTTCCTCTTGCACGAGGAATTGTAGTTGGCTAAAAGTATCGTCTTGTTGATATTAATCCAAATAGAAAACTAAGAACTTATGAGCTTTTCATCTTGACAAGTCAAGATAAACAGGTGTGTTACACTCCATATCCATCACATAATTCTATTAGGAAGGGATGGGTTGCTACATTGAAATGTAGGGCAAAAAATGTTATTGAGATGTCAGATGAGCAAGAGGACCAACATGATGATCCAAGCCCATTTTTCAAGATGATGACCCTTTAGCTCCCCAACCAATCGAGTTAGATCTCATATTATATAAACCTATTCAGCATACCGATGGAATTGTACATGCCATTAATATAGAATTTGAAGATGGGGATGATGACAAAGAATTTGAGGAAGAGGTTAAGGAGGAGGAAGAATTTAAAGATTATTCTACATTTGAGGAAGAAAATATTGAATACATTTCTAAGAGTAATAGTAGTGATTAATTAATTAATAACATATATAAACTTTGTTATTATTTAGTAGTGTATGTATGTCGTATTTTATAACACACTGGGTGATGTGTAAGTGGCTTGACATAAAAGAAAACTTAATGTGATGTTTATTAATATGTACAAATATTATTTTTAAATTTCATGTTTGATTTTTTTTTTTAAATTTATATGTAATGCATTTTTTTCAATCATATAGGGAAAAATTAATCACAGGCAATTGGGTCTTCGAGTACCATTATTAAGGAGACCCCAAGGGAGACGTGGTAATGATAGTGACATTGACCCTAGTGTACCCTCACCTCCTCAACCGAAAAAGCGTTGAGGAATGGCAAGAGCTCAAAAAATGCTAAAGGATCTTTCACAAAAGCTGAGCATTGGGAACTGAGATGGGAAAACATTACCAAAGCAAGTTCAAAATGAAATTTCAATCATCCTTAAGTCAAATATGTGTGATGCATACATAGGGTGGGGCTCAATTTCTCGTGAGCACAAGGAAGTGTATTGGTAAGCTTTTCGGGTTTCTAGTTTTATTGAATAATTTATAATGACATGTCTCTATTTATATATGTGCATATTCTTATATGAATTAATTAATATATGAATATATGATACCTATATATATATTTTCAGAATAAATGTGAGTGGGACCCTATTGAGAGGGGTACTGTACATACAGCATTTGTACATGTTTGTGAACAACGATATAATCAAATGATGACTGATATCCAAGCTTCATGTAGGAAGATTTTATAGAAAAAAAAGCCATACATGTCTAATGAGGTTTGGGAGAAGCTAAAGTACATATAGATGGAGGACCCACAGTTCAACACGTGCAGAGAGCAAGCAAAGCTAAATCGAGCCAAGGGCCCTAGGGTAACCCACACAGGTGGATCTATAGATTAGAATGACTTTGTGCAAAATTTGGTAAAAATTTTACTTTTATGTTTTAGATTTCAAATCATAATTTATATAATAATCTTAATGTTAGTTATAAGGTTTGTGTAAATTAACACAATAATTGAATATGTGATATTGCAAAAGGAAAAAGATCTTGAACATAGGGATCTATCATTCGTTGATGTGATCTGTGCAGAAAAAACTCACCATCCAAAGGAAATGCCAACATATATTGATGAGTAGGCTCAAGAGGATACTGTAAGTATTCTTTCTTTGCCATTATTATTTCTTGAGATGATGGATTTAAGTGAAATTTTCTTTCAATTTTATTCATATTAAAAAAACAATTAAAATTAAGGATACCTTATTAATTCCCTAATTGGGACAACTTAATTCTCCTCTATTCATTCAGTTATATTGAAATTAGATTGCATTTTAATTTTATTGAATATAATCATTGGAAATATATATATAGTTGAATGTATTTTTATACTTTGTTTACAAGGGGAAAGTTTAGTTTTTAGGGGAAACTTTATCGAATTTTTTATAAATTTATAATGAATTGCAAAATTTTAAGTAATTTTATTATGGTATTTATAATTATATTGAGTCCCTAATCAACTTAAGTAGAGTAATTAAAAATTGTATAGATATATTAAATAAAGTAGATGTAGATTAAGTATGGTATTTCTAATTTTTTTTTTCTTTTGGGTTTGTTTATATTGGATTCTTTTCTTTATAATCTCTATTTTTGTTTATGGGTATCTAGTACTGGAAAAAACTAATTTTTACACAAACTTTTAACATTGAACCCAAAAAAAAAAAA